TGGGACCGTAGACAGGAGGAGAGGCGGAGGAGGGAGGAGAAGGGGAGGGGAGACCAAGGGTCCGAAGACCCGAGACTAGAGGAGAAAGTGGCTGCTGCTGCTGCTGCTGCTGCGGAAGCGGCTGCTGCTGGGACTGCTGCTCCTGCGGGTCCAGCTGCTGCTGCTGCTGCTGCTCCTGCGGCTCCAGCTGCTGCTGCTGCTCCTCCAGCCGGTGTAACTCCCTCTCCTCTCTCTCCAACGCTAGCTGCTCGTCACGGGCACGGCAAACACGAGCCTGGTGCCTAGTCGGGTAGGGGTGGGGGGGCGGAGTAGTGTCCGAAGCAGCGGCAGCTCCAGAGTCCACCCCCGAAGAACCAGGCGCACCACCCCCAGAGGCAGCACTAACACCAGCTCCAGACCCAGGCTCACCCGAACCCGAAGGAGGCGCACTCTCACCCCCAGTGTTCGCGCGACCAGCACCAGCTCCCGGACGACAAGAGTCCTCTGCACCCACCGGGTCAGCTCCAACTCCAGAACCAGAAACTCCAGCTCCAACTCCAGCTCCAACCACAGCACCCCCAGATTCAGAAACTCCAGTGCCAACTCCAGCTCCAACTCCAGCTCCAACTCCAGCTCCAACTCCAGCACCCCCAGAACCAGAAACCGGTACAGGAACAGGCGCAGCACCAACCTCTCGAGAGCTAGCACCTGCGGCACGCTGCGAGGAGGACTGTGGGGAGGGAGGCTGTACCGGAGAGGCTACCGAAGGAGGAGGGGTAGCCTGGGACACACCCGACGGGGCTGGACCAGGGGGGGGAGGCTGTACAGGGGGAACAGGAGGGGGAGCGGCAGTCAGGAAGAGGGGGGGAGGAGGAACCCGGAGACCTCGACTGGGGTACCTGACGTAGTACGGAGTGGACTCCTCGAAACGGACGTCACGGGAGTCAAAGAACCGGTGAGAGGGAGGGTGGTAAAAGGTGAAGTCAAAGGAGTCCTCAGGGAAACCAAGGAAGACACAGGGGACGGCACGAGGCGAGAGCTTGTCCGCGGAGGTGTCGCGGACAAGAGCCAAGCACCCCCAGACACGAAACCGCGACGCAACATCAGGGGACCCTGTCCAAAGACTGGTCGGTGAAACCTCTGGTCGAGAGACACGTGGCCAGAGGTTCAGCTGGTGCGCGGCGTACCTGACCGCGTAGGGCCACAGAAAATGGGGGGCACAGGCGTGAGTCAGGGAGGTGCGGGCGATCTCCATGACCAGGCCTATGCGGCGCTCGGCAACCCCATTCTGCTGTGGGGACTCTGGAAGCGTCCAGGACTGACGAATGCCCTGCTCGCGACAGAATCCAGCGAGAATGCCGGAGCGAAACTCACCCCCACGGTCGGAGTGGAGGCAGTTGACACGACGACCACGAGTGTCCTCGGTGGTGAGAAACCACCTGATCAGCGTAGAAGTCACCTCAGACTTCTTCGCCAGAGGGAACACTGTGGTGTAGCGGGAGAAGTCGTCAACGACCACCAGAAAGTAGTGCTCACGCTCAGGGCCTAGACAAGGGGCGGGGCCCCAGACGTCCAAGTGAAGCGTCTCAAAAGGCTCGGTGGCCGGACGAAGGGAGGAGGAGTGAGGGGTAGCGCGCAGCCGACCCTCGACGCAGGGACCACACGGCGGCGCAAGCGAAGGCGGCAGCGACGGCAAGACACGTGGGAGGCCTAGGACAAGACGCTGACTAGACATAGCGCGCAGACGAGGAAGGGACGGGTGCCCCATCCGGTGGTGCCACAGAACGGTGGGGTGGGCAAGCGACCGGCAGGAGCACGACGCAGCGACTGGAGCAGACGTAGGAACCTGACACGACACAGACACCTGGGGGGACGAAGCAACCTGGTGAGACGCGGGGACCCGAACGGGGGGGGGAACCGGGGGCAGTGGCAGTAGGGGCGGCTGCTGGTGCGACCGCTGGTGCAGCTGCTGCTGCGGCGCACGCGGGCCAGTGTGAAGAGTGTAGAGACCTGAGCCCGGCTCAGCAGTAAAGGTAGCAAGAGGCTGGTAAGAGTCTCCGTGAACACACACCGCAGTCTCTCCAGAAGGCTCAAACCACACACCCACGTGCTGACTCACGAGGGGTCGTACGCCCACCAAGTTCCGGGAGAACGAGGGGACGTGAAACCCAGTGAGAGACCCGGAGGGAGCAGCAGGACACGGTAAAGTGGTAGTGGGACGTGCAGTGACTGGTCCCGTAGTGGGATCAGCCAACGCCACAGAAACAGGCGCAGGAAGTGGTGTAAGTGTCGTGCTGTCCCGGAAGAAGCAGTGTGAGGCTCCAGAGTCCAGCGTGAACGACAGCGAAGCGTCCTCTGAGGTAGTCGTTGGTCTAGAGTCTACACAAGAACCTACACTAGCAACAGGCAACTGAGCAAGACTAGCACCTAAGCTAACAACACCAGAGTAAACAGAGTCAGAAACACTAGAGTCAACAACAGCATACATAGCATGAGGAGCACCAATCAGATCAACTAACTGCTCAGCAGACATGCCCCACAGAGCGGAGCCGTAGCGCTGAACCAGAGGAAGCCAGTCAAGAGCAGGACCGCCAACCCCGTAGGCCAACCGGACCGTGTCAGTGAGCTGAGCAAAGCACTGACCAGGGGGGTGAAAGCGGCCACAAGGGTGGCCCCGACGAGGACCTGTTAGAACCTGATAGGTGCAGGGAGGGTAAGAAGCACCGCGCTGGGGCTGACGCAGCCCCGACCCCGGAGCCAGCTGCTGACGCTGCTGCTGCTGAGGCTGCTGGGAGGAAAGGGGCTGCTGCTGCTGCTGAAGGTGCTGCTGACGCTGAGCCTGGTACCACGCCGCTGCTCCACCTAGCGGGGTTGGCAGTACAGGAGGCGACTGACGAGCTCGGGGGTCGCCGCCACCAGCAGGCGCAGTGGAGTCACCAGCCGCTGCACGAGGGGTCTCTCCAGACGCTGCACTCCCACCACCGCCAGTCGCAACAGCACCCCCACTACCTCCGCTACCTCCACCTCCACCTCCACCAGAACCACCTTTCTTGCCCCCCTTGCCGCGGGACCGCGACGCAGTCGTAACAGCAGCCGCAGTCGCGTCAGTAGCGGCAGTGGCGAGAGAGGCAGTGAAGGTGGGTAACTGCGGGACTGTGCACCCGTGGAAGAGTGGGGGGGACACAGTACCAGAGGCGGCAGCTACCGAGCGAAGGTTGCTCTCGACGTCCTTGAGTGCAGACTCAAGGACCTCGATAGTCAGCTCACTAGGGTGCTTCAGCAGAAGCGCGTCACGAACGGAGGCTAGGCGGTCAGGGAGGCTAGTGGCGATGAAATAGACAGTAATCGCCATGGGGGGAGGAAGCAGTGCAAGCTGTGCCTCAGTGCAAGCAGCGCGGTAACTAGCGTCGAGCGAGCGGAGGTGAGCGATCAAGTCAGCAGAGCGCTCAAACGAGGCGAGATCAGGAAACAGGAACGGGAGGAAAAGACGGCCAAGAGAGATGGTAGCGGGAGTAGAGTAGCGGGCCTTAATCGCAGTGAGGTACGCAGCAGCGGTGCGAACCTGAGTAAAGTGGACCTCCTCTGACTCAGGGAGGAGGCTGCTGAGTGCGATGCAGGCCGCAGCGTCACGCGACGTCCAAGCCGTCCGGTCAGCGCGCTGACGGGCAAAGCGAGCCGTAGCAGCGTCGTCAGGGGCAGAGCCTAAAGCTGCAGGCTCGGGGGGCTCGGGGAGGTCACCAGTAGCGTGCGACCAGAGGGTCTCGCCCCCCTGGACCTGACTCTCTAACAGACGGCGAGCGCGAAGAAGCCAGACGGAAAAGTCAAGTGGTCTACCGTCAGCGTCGAAACGAAGAACTCGCGGAGTCGCCATAGTGAGAACTAACGCGAACGAACAGGCGAGTAACAACCGGGGAGAAGAGGCAAATTAGGGTTCAGGTGGGAAGGGGACTCAGTCGTAGCGGAAGAGCGGGCTAGGGCGACAGGCTAGGGCGTAGGGTAGGGCGACGGGCCAGGGCGTAGGGTAGGGCGACGGGCCAGGGCGTAGGGTAGGGCGACGGGCCAGGGCGTAGGGTAGGGCGACGGGCCAGGGCGTAGGGTAGGGCGACGGGCCAGGGCGTAGGGACGGGACAGGGCGACGCGACGGGGCAGGGCGGCGCGACGGGGCAGGGCGACGGGACGGGGCAGGGCGACGCGACGGGGCAGGGCGACGGGACGGGGCAGGGCGACGCGACGGGACAGGGCGACGGGACGGGGGGGAAAGGGCGGGCACGACGCGACGGGGGGAACGGGCGCGACGCGACGGGGGGAAAGAGCGCTAGGCGACGGGGGGAAAGGGCGCGACGCGACGGGGGGGGGGGGGGGGGGGGGGGGGGGGGGGGGAAAGGGCGCTAGGCGACTGGGAGAAAGGGCGCTAAGCGACGGGGGAGAGGGCGCTAGGCTCGGTACTAGGCGCGGTAACAACGGAACCGGTACGAACGAGAGGTAGGATCAGGCTCGGGAGGGACGAACGGAGAACGGAGGAACGGGATCCCATAGGATCCTAACCTAGCTGATACCATGTCAGAATGAGGAATGATGATGCCATTGATGTTGGTTGGGGTACATATAACAAACCCTAACTTCTGTACCCCCTAAGACAAACCTCACTACAGGCTACAACATTTGACACTAACCTCCACCGTGCAATACCCCTTTCCACCGCACTGGGAGCTCCCAGAAGTCTTGCAGAACTGCTGTACGCGATGTTGCTGGTCGTGGTAAGGAGTGTCGAGAAAATTCCTTACAGGTGAGACGCATGAGTTGATGGTTGCTTATTCGACCTTCATACATTAATGAAACCTACGTACATCATCAGAAGTGCTCAAACAAGTAACAATATGTGCAATCTGAAACTATAATTTTTGCAACAAGCAACCATTCGCGCAATGACCTTGACTGACCAGTAATGAGCTCATGCACCTGTATCCTGCGCCTCTAGCTACATCCAGCAGTGCCTAACCAAAAGTCACACGCATTTACTTCTACGCCTTGACACAAGTTTGCCTATCCGAGGACTGCTTGTACCCCTTCCTGCACATGCAGATGGGCGAAACCTTGTTGTGCCTAACCTCCACCGTGCAATACCCCTTTCCACCGCACTGGGAGCTCCCAGAAGTCTTGCAGAACTGCTGGCACGACTTGGCGACCCTCTGCTTGGGCTTGGAGCCGCAGCTGTAGGAGGAGGGGATGGTGAGGCAGTTGTTGCCTATGTCTGCAGAGCACACAGTCTTGCCGTTGGTGGTGGTAGGGACCGAGGAGCCAAAAAAGTAGTTGCTGTTGAAATTGGCGGACTCTGGCATCGTGGCAAACTTGGGAAGTGGGCCTGTGATGTAGTTGCCACTCACATCACTGCAGGTAAGAGTGTGCAAGGCGATGAGGGCGAGTGGGGAGGGTGATGGGTGAAGAGGGTTAGGAGAAGATAGGGAAATGAAAAAGAGAACATGGTCTATGAGTTGGCTCGAAGTGGAGAAGTGGATGGGGTGTGAATGAGTGAGTGGTACGGAGAAAGTGTGGTAGAGCTAGTGTCTCTAGTGCTTCTGCGAACACAACACAAACAACGGGAGGGAGCTGGGATTCAGCACAGAGAAGAGAAGAGAGAAACATTGCACCGATTGGCATACCAAGGGACAAGAGAGGATCCGAAGGGCATGCGCTGATTGGCATGAAGCTGGGAGAGAGAGGAACGAGAGGGAGGGATAGGGATGAGTTGGCACTCACATGGACTTGAGCTTGCTCTGAGAAGTGAAGTCTGGGAGGTAGCCGCTCAGACGGTTGTTCTGCAGGTTACTGTGTTAGCGGAGGGGGAAGAACAAGTTTGGATTAGGGAAACGGGGGGGGGGACTCGGGGGGGTTGAAGGGACAACATATCTGCTGAGGGACACTCAGGTTACATGCGTTTGAGCAAAACCACGTCAGTCAGTCGTATGTGGGAGAGAGGGCGGTGAGATGGGGTGGGGGAGAAGATGGGAAGACGGGCAGCAGGGGTGCGGGGAAACGGCGGAAGCATGGGCTCACTCACAGCGTCTGGAGGTTCTTGAGGTTTTTGAGGTTGTTGCGGTTCTTGATGTTGTTGTAGGTGGGTGATAAAAGTAACATTTTGAGACGTCTCAAAACACTCACAGCGTCTGGAGGTTCTTGAGGTTCTTGTAGGTGGCAGGGACGCTTCCGGAGAGCAGGTTGTCGTTCAGTGAGCTGCCATGGGGAGTGGGGGGAGAGAAAGGAAGGAGGACTTGGGGTGGGTGCGTTGTTTTAAGGGTCGTAGTGCGGCGTTTGCTAGAGCAAAGATGGACGCAATGCGTGAGGGAGACCGAGGTGGTTCTAGGTGGGTTTAGGTGAGAGGGGAAAGGGAGTGGTGGGGTTGGGTTGCGCAGCGCTATGGGTTGTGATGCGGATCGCCAAGAAGGATTTAAGGATAAGAGGCAGGTGGAGGGGGGCAGGTGGATGGGGGCAGGTGGAGGGGGGCTGGTGGAGGGGGGAAGGGAGGCGGGGAGATCAACAGCCAGGATGTGGACTAGTGAGAAGTGATGCCGTGCGCAAAAGGTAACGCGGGAAGAGGCTGCTTTTTTAGTCGACTGAAAAGTCAGCTCGGGAGATCAACAGCCAGGATATGGGACTGGTAAGTAGTGATGCCGTGCACAAAAGGTAGCGAGGGAAGAGGTTGAACGGGAGGGGAGAGGGAGAGGGAGCGGGAGGTTTGGAGGGAGGGGGAGGAGGGCGAAGAGGGGTGGTGGGGGGGACGTACAGGAAGCTGAGCTTGGTGAGGTTGCCGATGAAGGTAGGCAGGTCACCGGAGAAGGAGTTGTAGCGCATGCTCCTGGTGTGTTGTGGGTACGTAGGTAGCCCGTGCCCATTGCGCGTTGGTGCGTGGGAATGGTGTGTGGCGGGGGGTGGGAGAATGGTGGGCGGGGGGAGGACGGGAAGACGATGAGTGGGGACGATGGGCGGAAGGAAGGTGCGTGGGGAAGGAATGGTTTGGTTTGGTTGGTGCGAAGGAAGAAGAGAACCGAGACGGGTGGGGGGATGGGTGATGATGGAAACGGAAAGCGCGCCATCCCCGATGCATGAAGAGCGCAAGAGAGCGATGGGATTGAGAGCAAGTTGTGGATTGGAAGGGAGGATGGACGCTGACAGGTAGTCGAGGTTGCGGAGGGCCTTGAAGTTGCTGGGGAAGACCTGGCGGAAGTAGTTGTCCCCCAGCAGGCTGTGCGCGCGCATGCATGCACGGGACGATGGGGGAGAGGGGAATGAGGAAGTGGGGAGGGGGGAGAAGGGAGGTGATATTTGAGTCGACTCAGAAGTTGCTGGGGAAGGTCTGGCGGAAGTAGCTGTCCCCCAACAGCCTGTGCGCGCGCGCATGCATGCAGGCAGGCAGGGGAGAAGCAAAGTGGGAAGAGGTTGGTGCAGGTGCGTTGGAAAGAAGCAGGCACGAGTACATGGTGCATATGGTGCACATGGTGCACATGGTGCACATGGTGCACATGGTGCACATGGTGCACATGGTGCACATGGTGCATATGGTGCACATGGTGCATATGGTGCATATGGTGCATATGGTGCATATGGTAGGAGGGAGGGAGGGAGGGGAGCACTGACAGGCGCTGCAGCTTGGTGAGTTTGCCGATGGAGTTGACTCGTCCAGTGAGCCGGTTCTTGTGCAGGTACCTGCACACGCCATGCCGGGCAGGCACACAAGGGGGGAGGGGGGGGGGGGGGGTGTGCCGTGAGACACATGGATGGATTGGAGCGCGCATGGGCGAGAGAGGAGAACGCGACGGAGGCTGGAGAGGTTGGTGAGGCAGTGCAATGAGGCAGCGCGAGGGTGAGGCAGCACGGGGGCGAGGCAGCGCGAGAAAGGCGGCGGCAGTGGCGGCGCTCACAGCTCCCTGAGGTTGACGAGGTTGCCGATGCTTCGCGGCAGCAGGCCGTTGAGCCCCTCCTCTCCCGTCGCTGCCAGGTTGCTGCCAAGGGCGGAGAGAGGAGGGCAGAGAGAGGTGGGTGGGAGGGCCGAGGAAAAGGCAAACATAAGGAATGTGAGACGTCACAAGATTCGGCGCGGGAAGGGAGGAAGGGCAAGTGCGGTGAGCGCGAGGGTGGAGGATGCGGAAAGGTGATCATGTGGGAGAGTGGGAGCATGGGAGCAGGAGAGGCGTACAGGCGAACGAGAGAGAGGAGGGCGCAGGCCTTACAGGTACACGAGGCTCTTCATCATGCCAATGAAGGCGGGAATGGTTCCCGTCAGCCGGTTCAGACTCAGATCGCTGCGCAGGAGAGCGCGGAGGAGAAACAGGGAGGAGGAGAGAGAGGGTGAGCGAAGGCGAATAGAGCTGACGAGGATAGTGGGAAGCAACAGCAAGACCATGTGGCGGGGGGAGGTGGTCCGCGTCGTCGGACGGAGAAGCAGCGGCAGCGGGAACAAAAAAACGTGTCACTTTCGCCTCTCGACATGCGGCGGTAGCGGCGGAAGCAACAGCGGCAGCTGCAGTTGCAGCGGCAGCAGCAGCAGCGGCAGCGGCAGCAGCAACAACACTCACAGGTAAGTGAGTCGCATGGTGGCGAGGGCAGTCGGAATGGGACCCTCAACTCCCGAGTCGGAGAGATCGCTGACCGTGCACGGACGGACGGATGGACGGAGAGAGGGAAGAAGGGAGGAAGGGAGCGGTTGAGGAGGGGAGGGGAGAGTCGTGCGATTCGGAGGAGGTTAGGCGACATGGCAGTGCATTGCGAGAGCTGGTTACGATGACGATGACGGTGACGGTGACGGTGACGGTGACGGTGACGGTGACGGTGAAGGTGATACTGACGGTTACGAATGACGGTGGAAAATCCCAGTCGCTGATGGCGACGATGACTTCGTAGCGGCAGCCAAACGAGGGTTTCGTTCCTCATATACACCGTGACACCAAGGGGGGAGTGCGACAGTGGAGGATCGAGAGAGTGGAAAGATGGGGGGACGGGAGGAGGGGGGCGAGAGCAAGGGGAGGGGGCCGGCAGGAGCGGAAGGCTTACAGGTGCACGAGGCCGCGAATGGCGGGGAGAGCTTCGATTCCTTTGGACACGTCGGAGTTGCCGCTCAGGTCCCTGCCGGGTGCGGCGTGAGAGCGGGCGAGAGGGCGAGAGAGCGAGAGAGCGAGAGGGCGGGAGAGCGAGAGGGCGGGAGAGCGAGAGGGCGGTAGAGCGAGAGGGCGGTAGAGCGAGAGGGCGGTAGAGCGAGAGGGCGGTAGAGCGAGAGGGCGGTAGAGCGAGAGGGCGGTAGAGCGAGTGAGCGGTAGAGCGAGTGGGCGGTAGAGCGAGTGAGCGAGAGAGAAAGAAGAAGGAGAGAGCATGGAAGATTTCGGGTGAGGCCCTTTACGCGGGAAAACGAAAGGGAGGATGATGCGAGAGCAGGAAGGTAGATAGGAAAGCAGTGGCGTGTGTGAGAGGGCGAGTGAGGGGTGCGCGAGTGCTCACAGGTGCACTAGTCCTCTGAGCTTGCTGAGACTGCTGATAGACCCGTTGATGGAGTTGCTCGACAGGTCGCTGCCAGGGACGGCACGCAGAGTCGCGAGGAGGCGGAGAGACGAAGAGGCGGAGAGGAGGAGAGGAAAAGAGGCCGAGACAGGAAAAGAGGTGGAGAAACAGAGAAAAACGGAAAGGTGTGAGGGGCGAAGGGACAAGATTCTAAACAAGGAAATCGCGGAGGTGGAGGCCAGCGGAGATCAAGTGTTTCTCTCACGTCGAGCTCTTCTATCTCGAGCCACAGAGCACCACGTGTTCATTGTAACAGCGACGGACTCCCCCACCATGCGGCCCTCCGCGACCGCTCCCCGTTCAGCCCCTAACCTGCTCGTCCACTTACAGGTATCGCAGCGACGCGAGCTTCGTCAGCGAGCCGATGGGACCCTTGGCTCCCGCTTCCACAAGAGTCCTGCACACATGCAAAACAGGGATTAAGGAGGAGGGGACGGCGGAGCGGAGAGGAGGAAAGGCGAGGATAGGTGAGCGGGGAGGAGAGGGGGGAGGAAGGGGGTGAGTTGAGTTCGGAAGTTGAGTCAGGACACTCGAGAGAAAACAGGCTTCCGTTGAAGTTGCGCTTAGCTCATACGTGGTTCGTTGTAGAAGCAACAAAGTAGCTCGGGCGTCATGCGCGCCGAAAAGCAAGCAGGAAAAGAGAGTTACGGCAACGATTCTTTGAACATGGCGTCGCACGCACTACTAGCTGCTGTCACGCGGCAGATGTGAAGCCGACGTGGCGCGATCGTGCTGTTGACATTGGCAACGTACATGTTGTTGATGTAGCCCTTGGGGTTGCAGCGCACGCCCGCGTACGTGCTGCAACGGCGCGGCGCGCCCGCTTGGGTCCAGGTGGACGACCCCTTGAACTTGCCCCATTGCCGCACAAGCTCCTTAAGAACCGCGTCTGCTCGCACGGGAAAAGAGTGCGGTTAACTGTGGAATTTCTACGAGGAGTGGGAAATGCTGGCTCTAGAGGCTGGGATGCGAGGTGGGGAGGTATTAAGGGGTGGGGGAGTCGACGGGGATGGATGAGAGAGCACGAGGGCGGACGTTGTGAAAGAATGCAGGCTAAGGGAAACAGCTGTTGGCACGGATGTTGTTGAATGGACTGCCTTACGCTGCTTTGAGTCGAGGTCCGGCCGTTGCACAGCGTGACATCCGGCGGTGTTGGCGGCGACAACCAGGAGCATGAGAACCGCCGAAGTGATAACCGATCTCGTAAAGCGAGCTTGCGACAGGGATGCCATTGCATAGACCTGAGAGTACCGATTCAGAAGGATAACACTGGTATACTGAAGCTTCTTACGGCGATATTTCCCAAGGTATTTTACTAAGAGGGAAAGCTGAGTTACAGTGAGTTGGCTGTTCGATGGACAAAGCAACTAATCAAATGACGGCTTGACTTTCTCATTTGACATAAGCCAAGGTGATCTCCCGTTTTCTCATCGGGAACTCGTCAAGGAGGCAACCTCGCGCCGTGATTTTGCTCATCTGGAAATACCGCGCATTCCGAAAAAAAATGTGAGATGCGGCTCGAACTTTGAGGGATCGTTTTTGCTGGTTACTTCTCTCAACGACGGATGGCGAGAAGAACAGAAGTACCAAAATGTTCGCTTGCCTATCACAAGTGGTTATTTTCTCGCCAGGTAGACGTTCGCAATTCAAACCTCTCATCTCAAGGCGCCGTTGGACGCTTGATGGTGGGGCGATAGCCCAGGGCGGTTTGAAAACATTTGCCGCCATCACAGTGTCATCACAGTGGCCAGTGATGACAAAGCCGAGACGCGCTTCGAGGTTCAGAACAAACGTGGCCAAGCCTTGGACGTGGCAAAAGATCTGTACGAGTATACCAGACTTGATAGCCTTGTAGTTACCGCTACGAGAAGCCGAGGAGCATAGATGTCAGTAGTCTGTCGTATAAAAAAACAATGTTAACATGTCATCAATTCAATCAATATAACATGCAGCAACCTATAATCATGACAGATTTCACAATCTACTTCAACTACCGTACTTCCCTTTTTCAACTCGGCGTGGAAAATGTCAGTTAGATCATAGGGGGATCATTGATCAACTCCACGGTAAGGTATGGTCTTGTTATGATAAACCCACACTTCATGGACATTGGACACTAAGAGCAGGCCCCAAAATGTTGTTGGAAATAAGAAGTCGCTAGAGCGCAGCGGAAGCTCTAGGAATTAACGACGTCCCTACGGCGGGGCTATTGGTCACTTAGAGGTAGCTCTCCTGGCCTGTAACGTGGTGCCAAAGCAGCGGCCGAGGGTAGGCCGGACACAAGCTTGAGAATTGTGTAATATGAGCAAGGCATTACATTCTGTTATAAAGCAAACGCATAGGGCAAACAGTTGCCGAGGCGCAACTGTATAACAGTTGCGCTGCGTCGCTTGGGTTGCCTTGTTACAGTCGCGCTGGCGAGACTTTTCAGCTTCGGCGAGGGCGCGGTATCCTGCCGCGCCCCACAGGTCAGTTTCGTGTACTGTAGACGATGACTCCTGCTGTCGATTCGACTCTTGAGCTGCCACGCGGGTCGCAACCGCTGTGTTCGGTTGCGGCCCGTTGACTCGCCACCAGGTTCAAATCCCTCGCTATAGCGAGCCCTTGTAAACACACTTCGATCAGTGCACTTATAATAAAAGCATACAAACATATTCTCAACAAATGTCAGGGTATTTTACCCTGATTGCCCTGACTGGCGGCCGCTTTTTTTTTTAAGTACCCTGACTCATTCAGGCTCCCAGGCTTTAAACACTGACCCAAAATGTGATTGTTTTTTTTTTACCCTTATAGATTCAAAGTTCGCGTTACCTTCCCCTGACGTTATCAGTGTACGGTCCCACTTACCCTGATACCGAGTTTCCGGAAACGAGGATTCTGCTACACTACACATACACTGCTCCTGTGACACGGTGCCACTCCCATATCTTGTTGCACTTGCCCAGTGGTGAGAAACTGCCAAACCCCAATGGTGTGTTTGGCAAGATTCGTGCCAGCGCACCCGTGATTGCTGCCAATACACCTCATAGTCCTTGCCAACTGCGCCAGCACGGCAAAACTGCCGCGATGCACGCACTCGTCTTGCCCAGCGCTGCAGCGCCATCACGTATCATCCTGTACCTGCTATGCTTTTCCTCGCTTCGTGAACAGCCATGCGCGGTGCTGAGGGGGTCCATCCTTCCCAAAGGGAACCCATCTTCCTCACCTCTCTCTTGCACTTCCCCGAGGTCTCACGGAGTAGCACCATCCAGTCATGCCAGCCGAGCAAGAGCAGGAACCGCCTTGGGGCCCAAGAAACGGGCTCTCAGTTCTTGGCGTTCTTCCCAAGCTAGGTGACAACTACACCGTTCCCATCGCACAGCCGCCACGTGACGCCTCGCCCGTACGAAGCGTCGGTTATGTGTTCGCAGTCGATCGGCCCAATTCTCCTACTGCTGATGAGCCACACCCGTCGCTGGTTCTTGTTCCTGGCGGCGATGAAGGCAGCTCCAGGCCTTCTACTGCGTACCCGTCGACTGTGAACAGCACGCCTGGCAAAAGGCCGCGGATCGGGGTGAAATACACACAGCAGAGGCTCTGGGGCGCACCGCCACCAAAGAAGGATGCATCACCAACGCGCACCGAAGCTCCTGCTGATCCCAAACCACCAACAGTCACTGCTGAAGCTGAGTATGCAACGTACAAGCACAGGTATGACACTGAGTGGGCAGGGAAGTTCGACTGGCTACGACTCCATCGTCAGACCAACGGGAGACCTTCGCTGAAATGTAAAGTGTGCATTAAGTACGGCGATCCTACCGCTCGCACCGTCTACGGCGCGAAGGGTGAGGGTGGCCGTGACTTGCAAATCGGAACCATACGGGTTCACTCATCTACTCGAGCACATAAACAGGCGCTGGAAGCAGAGGCTCGTTCACTTGCGGCAAAGGAGAAGCAAGTGACTTTGACAAGGTGGCAGGAGACGGATTCGTCTACTCGCCACATCATCCGCTGCCTGCACATCGCGATGTTCGTCTGCAAGGCCGACGCTCCCATCGCGATGTTCGTCCCCCTGTGCTGGTTTCTCGCTAAGGAGGGTCTTCCTGACCTTCCCCCCAACGGCGGCTACGGTGCCTACTACATTGAGTAAGTTAGTTGCGCGTGGTTTGTATTGGTTCACGAGGGTTTGTTATAATCTGTATCTAATATTCAGTGTTCGTGGTTTCTGTTGCCGTTACGGGTTCAAGGAATGTCTTCGTGCAACATCCACGTATCTGCAGGAGACGCAGCGGCTTCACCTTCTGGAATCGCCATGGATGTCCCTGTCGCTCGACGAGAGCACTGACCGCATCCACGGGAAACATCTCATCATCTACGTCACCTACCTCAAGAACAGGGAAGTCGTCAACGAGTTCCTGGCCTTGATTACCGTGGATCGCGCTGACGCTGCCTCTCTGACCTCCGCCGTTGTGCAGTACCTGACTGGTATTGGTGTCGACCTGCAGAAAATAACCGGCATTGCGACCGACAGAGCGAGCGTAATGGTGGGGAAGAACAATGGAGTGGTGGCACGGCTCAGAATGCGTATACCTCACCTCGCGTCTACACACTGCATCGCGCATCGGTAAGGCTTTTGTGTATGCTTGGTTGCTTCCTGTTAGTTGGACTTAAACTCATGAATCTTGTGTGGTGCATGCAGGGAGGCACTCGCTGCAAAAGATGCCGCTGAAGCTGTCCCCGAGATGAACATGGTCGACGATGTCGTCCGTGCATTTTCGGAGCTACTAGGGAGGAGCGGCGAACAGTATCAGAACCTGCAACAAGTATTCAGCAAGACGAATCTCGAGGCGCAGGGGATACACACCGTCCGGTAGCTATCGCGTGGCGAGGCCGTTGCCCGGCTCCTCGAGGTGTTGCCAGCCGTCATCGTCGTGCTCAAAGACTACAAGCCGGACTTGTACGAGGTTGTAACCTCGTTCAAGATTCATTGGCTGCTACGCTTCCTCGCTGACATCCTGTGGGAGTTGAACCACTTGAATCAACGTTTCCAGCAGAGACAGGTCAGTACTTGCTGTCAGAATCCCAACCACTAGACCATTGGGATAAAAGGGCTTGTTAAGTAGCGGGTTAGAGTGCGCCCATAACCCCCCAGGCAAACGCGCCTGTAACCCCCCGTAGGATCATTCGGGCATCCATAGTGCAGATCTGCTGATACCCCCCCACACTGGGAGGCCCAAGACTAAGCACAGCGGCAACGGCCTACATGTGCACACACCAGGAATCGAACTCGAGACCACTCTGACACCATGTCAGAATCCTAGTCACTAGACCATTGGGATAGAAGGGCTTGTTTCAGTAGCGGGTCAGTGCGCCCATAACCCCCCAGGCGAACGCGCTTGTAACCCTCTCCAGGATCAATCGGGCATCCACAGTGCAGATCTACTGACACCCCCCCACACTGGGAGGCCCAGGACTAAGCACAGCGGCAACGGCCTACATGTGCATACACCGGGAATCGAACCCGAGACCGCTCTAATACCATGTCAAAATCCCAACCACTAGACCATTGGGATAAAAGGGCTTGTTAAGTAGCGGGTCAGAGTGCGCCCATAACCCCCCAGGCAAACGCGCCTGTAACCCCCCGTAGGATCAATCGGGCATCCACAGTGCAGATCTACTGACACTTGCAGCTCAACGTCACGCTTGCAAGCTCATTGCTGAAACAAGAGAAATGAACCTGTGTAGTGGCCCTTACACCCCACCGCGCTTCCTTGTTGTTGCTGCAGATCGACGTCACGCTTGTAGCGCACATCGTGGAGAAAACGCGGATGCGGCTGAAGGCGCGGTACCTGAGCTCGGCCCCTGGTCACACCTTTGGAAGCGGAGAGTACATGACTCTCCCCGATTTCTTCTTGAAGCACCAGAAGCAGGACAAGCGCGAGATGAAGGTTGAAGGCGTTGACTCCAACGGAGATCCTGTTTCGTTCAAATTCCTTCTACACAAGCGGCCATTGAAAGGGCAGGAAACAGATGGTGATGTGACAACCTGCTACGAGCTCTCCGTGAAGTTTGTCCGCGCGATCGACAAGGAACTGGAGTGGCGGATGCGTGATCTCGCCAACCTGGAGGGAACGATGCTGTTCCGCACCGCCTCTTACATCACGGACGATGCCAAGTGCGTAGAGGCGTTCAAGCGCTGGCTCGGCTTACTGCACAAACTCTACCACGGAAAGATGCCAGGTGAGCGGTGATG